ACGAATTTGCAGTTCTGCAACTTTTAAGAGTTGTGTTGGAATAGGGCACACCCTCTATGCTCCATTCAAATGTGAGTTATAATACTCTGTCGTAGACCAGTGGTCGCAACAGTCCAAGTTAGCGTCAAATTACCGGGTTGTAGGAAACTAGAACACCCACCAACAACTTTTTCACAATAGTTGATTTGAAACATCATTTCAAATCCTCGCAATGACGCCCAACCTTTGCATGTTGATGTGGTGACTACCCAGCAGCAACGTTTAAACTTCTCATTAACAATGACGGCTCGAACTCGGACCGCAATGCGTCAAAATGGGAATTAAAGAAGAATCCGACAACAATAGCATCTCAGCAGAAGTATAGAAAAACGACAACAATAGTCATCCTCATACCATTTCATCAACAGCCCGGGACGGTAGCCCGAAACAACAACAACCTTGCTAAGTCCAATTTACCAACAACAATCTTGAACAATGTAGTAGTGACCTAAGCTGCGACAACTCTCAAAGGAGCAACAACATCTGTTCACTCCATGTCTTAAGTTTACAAGATCATCATGCTCCCTGAACAACGACGCGCACGGAAGAGCTACCGACCTTTTGGCCTACATTCGGATACAATCGTTTGCCCAAGCTATCATAACGACCATTTCGTTAAAATTAACATCTTTCATTTTCTGAACGGAATTGAAACCAATTTTTTTGGCAAAAAACTCGTCAAAATTTGTTGTCTTGAGGATCTGACGTTTGTAAAACTTTGGACCCCCTTGGTTGTATATGGACCTAGCTTGAGACCTTTAACATCCAGGCAGGACTGCCTGGATATCCCCTGTCTCAAGCTAGGTCCATGTACAACCAGGGGGTCCCGCATTTTACAAACGCCGGGCCCTTAGGAACAACAAATTTTGACAAGTTTTCGGCCAAAAAACTCGGTTTCAATTTCGTTCAAAAAATAAAATATGTCCATTTTGCCGAAATGGCAGTTTCATGGTTGAAGTGGACTGCCTTAGCTTTGCTACAAGAAACACAAGGCACGAGTTACCATACGATGGAGAATGAGTAAGTCGTACCTTGGACCAACAAGTGTGGTTAGGATGAACACTTCATGTGCTGGTGGTCACCAACATAAAAGTTCCCGCAATAAATAAAAGTTGAAAAAAACATTCCATTAAAAAAAATTCTTCATATTTAAAAATTATAATTCCAATGTTTATCCAGTTCTAACTTTTTTTATTTTATTTTATAAATTCACGTTTAAAAATTAGTTCTCTTTTCCAACTACATATATTTGTTGAAGATGAAATTATGAAAGTTTGGACGAGTTTATGAAATGTCTTAATTAAACTTTCGTTCTACTATAACAAATATCTTTTAATTTGGATTGGATTAACTTGTTTATGACATAAAATTTGTACATAAAATGACAGTCCAATTAAAATATTCCATGAACTCATCCAGACTTTCATTCCATCTCTAGCATGCAATTCAAATAAGAAGGAATACCCCATTATTGGAATGAAAGTTTTCAAGTAAGACATGACAATTTAAAAGTGGAATGACATTTTTTAAGATAGAATAAAAATTTAAAATTCAGAATACAATTTTACTATAGAATGATTATTTAATTCTGTATTTTTTTTATGTTGATGATTGTTTGAAGGATGACCACGATCAATTGCAGTATAGAGTTGTACCCGGATAAAAATGACCACGACAACGTTGGCAAAAACGAGCAAGGTGATGATCTTCCCAGCAAGCACGAGCACTCCAGCACATGGAACCCGATTACCGTCGAGGAGGAAGGCAACAACAAGGGAGGTCACGAGCTTGTTGAAGATCATGACGACCAACAGTTTTACAAACAACGACAATTATGTTGATCACGATGATGATGGCGAGAAGACGACTCGATCCATATGAGGACGATCATGATGATGAGTAGGATGGTGATCAAAGCGCTGCCCCCCTCCACGGATGTACAAAACGAGAGTGAATCATCCACTAAAGCATAAGAAGTTCAAGTTACACTACTGCCTTATGCAGAACGTTGTGCGACACCAACAGGGTGGCCAATGGGTCTCTCTCTCTCTGGTGCAGGTTCGCCACTCTTGTCCTCGCTCATTTGTATGTCGCCCACGTGTTCACGCTCTCTCTTTTGCTTCCCCGATTCCCTGATCACGTGCTCACACATATGTGTCACCCCGCCCGCTCCACGTTTGTCTCCTCTCCCTCTTCTTGGCAACGGCCCCAATCGCATGGATGTACCTGGCCCTTTGAACGACTAGGATCATGCGAAAGGTGAAGATCTAAGTTGCGGGAGGAACCTGCGAACTTGATGGAGGGTAGCAAACCTATGGAGACCGGTGTTGCGTTCAAGAAAGACCATCGCTAGCGCCACGAGCAGCACCCCGTTAACAACGAGTTGGGGTTTGTAGAAGATAGTCGGGATAAGATACACCTCCACAAATTTGAAAAAGACCACCGGGTGCAAATGAAGTACATGAGGAGTGCCTTGATCTTGATCACAACAGACTCGTCGAGAAGCAGCGACCTTGTTACACTTCCACCAAAATTTCAAGCAAGAATGAGTCTTCCGCCAGTACTTGGAAAAATGCATCGTCGGGATTGAAGCAAGGACCGTGCACATAAGCTTCCTCCTTCATTTTTCTCACCGCCGTTTTCCCACTATTCCGCCATCTTCGACTCAGATTGTGCAGCCTCTAACCCCACTGCTCCAAAGGTACTTCCTAAATCAGGAATTCAACTCCACCATCGTATTTCAACACTGACGTTACACCATAACCAATATTGTTAGGTCCAAGGTTGGGATTAACAATTGCAAAAATCTATATGATGGGTACCATGTCGGTCGTGGACCTGCCGAAATGCCCCAAGGTCACAAGTTGGCCTTCCGACCAAAATCCACGGTCGTCGCATCCCGTCATTCGCGCACGGGGGGCTTGGTTCAGCTCATCGTTGCTGCATACACCGCTTATCGCACCAAGGTCTCACCACTAATTTTTGAAGTACGGTACTTTACATGCGTAACATACCCAACATGACACCAATTTAAACCAAATGATAAACCTCCTCGAAGCAGCGCCAGTAGTCAAACCTTCAACGTCGTATTTACCGAATGTCCATTCTGCCCGTGCATGCCACAACCAACAAACCAATCACAGGAAGAATCATATAATCCTGGTTTAATTAAAAAAAACTCGAAAGTTGCCACAAAGTCTGGGTGTCGACCACTCTCTGCATCAACATCCTTTGCCCGCAACTCGATAGTTTCGCCTTCATGCAGAGACTCTATCTGCCTGACAACAGCCAACGACGGGCAGCGCCGCCGCCACCACCCCCGTCTTGTCAATGGATCTCAACACCGCGCGCCCTTCTCCCCCCCCACCCTCCATTGCCCACGGACTTCGTAAAGATGTGGTCACCTGCAAGCCTGCCTCCTTCCCTATGTACACGTGTCCTCAACGTCTATATCCACGTGCTACACGGCTGCACTTTATGCGTCCTTAGGGCAACCGGAACGGATGATTGCACAATGGAGGTCTTTGCCCACCGAAGCTCGCACTCCAAGCTGCCACATGCTGTCACTCAAGGAGCCGACCTGACGACGGACCTCTTCGCCGGACACACCTTGCACCATACACTGCTCGTCGTCGTTGTCATCCAACGGGGCGAGAAGGAGACGACATGAAAGGGGTGGTTAGGAAAACAACATATCCACTGCCTAGCCGCCTCTTTGGGAATGCCTGTGTGCCGCCTAGCTGTTGCCCCTCGCCGAAACTCAAATTTCAAATTTTGGACAGGGACATTCCCACCTTTTTTTTTTTTTTTTTTGCGGCCCTCCACGTATTCAGGCCTGCCACCTGTGGACCAACATGGCTCTTGAGCGGACATCCCAAAAAACGCACCACGGACGCCTCCTGCGGCCACACATGTATAAAATTGGCCCCCGAGGATTCCTCCTGGGAGCCATTCCCCACGGATAGGTGGAACGCCACCAAAATTCCAAAAATTCCCCGAGGATTCCTCCTCCCATTCCCCAAGGATCGGTGGAACGACGCCACCAAAATTCCAAAAATTCCCCGAGGATGCATGCTCGGAGCCCGAGGTCGCCCTGAGGAGTGTCTAACGATGCCCTAAGGGGCTGATCCCACGTGGAGCTTATGGTCCGTACAAACTTTTTTGGATCCCATTGGGGCTATTCCATGGCCAACGAGCCCTTTTTTTTGTTTTTTTTTTGTCCTGTGGAGCTTTGAACCGGACAACTAAAGCCAAAAAGAAAATAGAAAAAAATGGACGGACTTTTAGGGGGGGAGGGTAGGAGGTCACGGGCTTCTGGAAACTCCGAACGAGCACGCGCCGTCGGTAACGGCCGTGGCGACACGCGCACAAGAAAAAGAAACAGGCGATTTGTTTCCCAGTGCATTCGGACCCGGAACCATGTGGGATCCCCGTTTTTGGCAAAAAGTTCCTCTACTCTACTACGCCATGTGGGATCAGTACCTAAAAGTCGGCTGTCCGAGGGGTGCGCCGCGAATAAATTAAAACTTTCAGGGGCATATAGGCCAGCGCCTCACTCTACCGGTAGCTATGACCTTTTCGACTGGTCCCCGTGGGCTCGATTGCCGTCAGATACGTCCCCGTTTTTTGGCTGTATTTGCGTTCAGATGCACTTTGAAAATTAAAAAATTCCAGTCCGCGTATAGCCTGCCTCAAGAGTCCACCGTCCACAGCCTCAGGCGGGAAGCCGAAGGCTCGGAAAACTCCGAGGAGGTGAATTTTGCAACAACTGAGCTCTCGGGACGCGATTGCAGTCAGATGCATCCACGTTGGGCGTAATTGGAGTCAGATACGTTCAGGGTGCCTGTAATTGCAGTTGCATGCAATGGAGAGTTGATCGCCCACAGCGGCGAAAGGGAAATGCCGGGGCGCCAAAGCCGAAATCGGCAACTCTGGGGAAGGCAAAAAGTTGCCCAGCGCGTCTCTATTACATCTTCAGAATCCTCCTATTGCACCTCAGCGCCTCACTTCTGCTCGTTGCACCTCTCAGGGGCGCACTTGCAACGGGCGAGCGCGGTGCCCTTTCTCGCGCCAAGCAGTCGTGGATTTCGTGGGAACGAAGAGGAGGAAAAGGTCTCCAGAGATAGGAAGGAAGGGGGTACGTGAAGGACTTCCGTTGCTTGGTGGGCTGTCGTAGCCATGGCGGCCAAAGGTGAAGGACCAGCAATTGGAATCGACTTGGGGACGACGTACAGCTGTGTCGGCGTCTGGCAGCATGACCGTGTGGAGATCATTGCCAATGATCAGGGTAACAGGACCACGCCGTCCTACGTGGCGTTCACGGATACGGAGCGGCTGATCGGTGATGCGGCTAAGAATCAAGTGGCAATGAACCCGACGAATACTATCTTCGACGCAAAGCGACTGATTGGGAGAAAGTTCAACGACAACTCCGTGCAGAGTGACATTAAGCTCTGGCCTTTCGAGGTCATCGATGGTCCGGGCGGGAAGCCTCTCATTGGTGTATCGTACATGGGGGAGAAGAAGCAGTTCGCCGCAGAGGAGGTGTCCTCTATGGTGCTGACGAAGATGAAGGAGATTGCGGAGGCGTTTCTCGGTGTGACACTGAAGAACGCCGTTATCACGGTTCCGGCATACTTCAACGACTCGCAGAGGCAGGCGACGAAGGACGCCGGTGTTATCTCCGGTCTGAACGTGATGAGAATCATCAATGAGCCGACGGCGGCTGCCATCGCCTACGGTCTTGACAAGAAGGCGAGCAGCGTCGGCGAGAAGAACGTCATGATCTTCGACCTCGGAGGCGGCACTTTCGATGTCTCGCTGCTGACCATTGAGGAAGGCATCTTCGAGGTGAAGGCGACGGCCGGAGATACGCATCTTGGCGGTGAAGACTTCGACAGCCGGATGGTGCACCACTTCGTTCAGGAGTTCAAGAGGAAGCACAAGAAGGATATTAGTGGGAGCGCTAGGGCGTTGAGGAGACTGAGGACCGCCTGCGAGCGTGCCAAGAGAACTCTCTCTTCCACCGCGCAAACGACTATTGAAATCGACTCTCTCTTCGAGGGTATCGATTTCTACTCCACCATCACAAGAGCGCGTTTCGAAGAGCTGAACATGGACTTGTTCCGGAAGTGCATGGAACCCGTGGAGAAGTGCCTGCGGGACGCGAAGATGGACAAGCAGTCAGTGCATGAGGTGGTGTTGGTCGGCGGCTCCACTCGTATTCCCAAGGTCCAGCAGCTTCTCCAGGACTTCTTCAACGGTAAGGAGCTGTGCAAGAGCATCAACCCTGACGAGGCCATTGCCTATGGCGCTGCTGTGCAGGCTGCCATTTTGAGCGGTGAAGGTAACGAGAAGGTACAGGACTTGCTTCTGCTCGATGTCACGCCTCTCAGTCTCGGTCTGGAGACGGCAGGCGGTGTCATGACTGTTCTGATTCCGAGGAACACGACAATCCCCACGAAGAAGGAGCAGGTGTTCTCCACTTACTCCGACAACCAGCCAGGCGTGCTCATTCAAGTGTACGAGGGTGAGCGATCCCGTACCCGGGACAACAACCTGCTTGGCAAATTTGAGTTGTCGGGTATTCCGCCGGCGCCGAGAGGCGTTCCTCAGATCACCGTGTGCTTTGATATCGACGCGAACGGAATCTTGAACGTTTCTGCGGAAGACAAGACGACTGGCAGCAAGAACAAGATCACGATTACCAATGACAAAGGTCGTCTGTCGAAGGAGGAGATCGAGAAGATGGTTCAAGATGCGGAGAAGTACAAGGCGGCGGACGAGGAGCACAAGAAAAAGGTGGAGTCGAAGAACAGCTTGGAAAACTACGCGTACAACATGCGGAACACCATTAGGGACGAGAAGATTGCGTCCAAGTTGGATGCTGCCGATAAGGAGACGATCGAGAAGGCGGTGGAGTCGGCTGTGGAGTGGCTGGACCACAACCAGCTGGCAGAGGCAGATGAGTTCGAAGACAAGATGAAGGAGCTGGAGAGTGTCTGCAACCCAATCATTGCGAGGATGTACGGAGCCGGAGGTGGAGCGGGGGGCCCTGACATGCCAGGAGGTTTCGGCGGCAGGGATGAGCCGCCGAGCTCTGCCGGTGGCCCCGGGCCCAAAATTGAGGAGGTCGATTAAGCTTGTTGGGAAAGGGTAGTGATAGTAGTAATAGCTGATTCGGTGGCGTTTTTTGTGCTCTGGAGATTGGCTTTAGGGCGCGCGTCTTTTCGCCACCATAGAATTAAGTGTTCTATGCGAATTGCTTGTCTCCTCTCCTTGAGCGGTTTGTGTGGTTCTTGTGGTTGTTGAGACGGTTAGCAATAGTTCCGGCGTTAGTGGGTGGATTGAGATTTTTTGTTTCGAGGCACTGCGCGTAGGTTTCCTACTTCCCTTCTGATGGCGGTGATGGATTTGATTGATATGACATTATGATGATGACATCGTCTGTGGTTGTTTAGTTTTAGTAATTTGGGCGCTCTATTTTGCCTTTCGCTTATCCTGCGTTGTTGTGAATTGCTATCTTCCGTCCGTAGTTGAGTGCTGTTCAAGGCATTCTACCGGCGGTTGTATGATCTTAATGATGACAAGGTTAGGCTTGTGGGCTTTTGGTGCGCATTCTTTTGCGCGTTTCTTTTCCGTTCTGTTTAGCATTGCGTTCCTGGCTGATGGTGTAGTTCAAAGGCTTTTGTCCGTTGGTTTAAGTTCTTATGAATGATTGAGATCTGTTGGAATCATCTGCACGACACATTTCCCTCGCGTGATTGATGGTGTTGGTCTGTCTGTTTTTTCGAGGCGTGAACTTGGGATTTGTTCATGATGTTGCAATTTTTCAGAATCATATTTTCGTTTACAGATTCTCCATGTTGTAAGTGCTGGTTAGGTCTGTGGTTCTTGGTACTTGGTTCTCGTCTCTGCTAGGAGAGTAGGTTAGGTCTCTGTTTCTCTGTACTTGCTAGTTGCTCTGCTATTTCGATTCGTCGGGACCCTGTTTGTAGGTTTCTTATGGCACTGTGGTGGGAGGAATTGAGGCGGTTCTGTCGACGTGATAGATGCTATTGACTCGGGGCTTGTGCCTTCTGTGTGCTGTATCGAACGCAGTGGCAATTTAAGAGTTTCTCGTAGTCTTGTCGAGTGCTGTTTTAGGTTATGGATCCACTGGACTGGGTACTTGTGCTGTTGTCGAGATGGATGTGTCGGCCCACAGTTTGTGCGTCTATTCTCGCACTGTGCGGAGTAACTGTTCCCGTAGTTTGATATCTTGTAGGGTTCGGGAGTTCTGATTGGGTACTTCACTTCTGCTTTCGAGTGCTCTTTACGTATGAGATTCTCGGGGCCGCTTCTGATATTGCGATGTTTCGGCTCCAGGTTCGTTCGTTTCTACTGGTACTTGGGGGAGGAAATATCTCTCGGTGTTAGTTGAGTTCTTCGCGGCCAGTCGCATCGATGTTTGGCTCTCAGGTTTTTTCTTGCAGGCATCCGGAGTGCTGATGTGGGATCGGTTTCTTTCAGTGATCTCGTTGAATTTGAATATGCGAGGACGAGGTTAATACTTCGTGAGAGTATGCCTGCAAGTTTGCGACTTCAATGGCTTGGTCAGGTTTCTGTTCTGCAGTAGGCTACGGCCAGTGTCATTGTCGATGTGGCTGGCTGTTTCTTGCTGAACTTTTGGCTGAATATGAGGGCGTTGCTCCATTGTGAAGGCGGTTTATGGTCTCTACTATGAATAAAACATTTGCACTGCCATCGTTAGAGGGGCAATTTGCTGGCCGTCTTTGGCTTGAGTTACGGGATGTATGTTACTCGTCTCATTTGTTGAATTGTCAGTAATTTGTCGACGATGTGCGGGTGCCTTTGTTGTTGTTGAATTGTCTGCTATGTGAAAATGCCTTGTCATGGTATTCTTGATTTTCGTCCAATTACGTTTCCATTGCTATCCCTAATGGACCCGAAGGTGAGCGACCTGTTTTTTCGTGCCCGAGTTCTCGGACCTGTACGGAACAAACGAGTAGGCATTTTGTCAGGTATATATCGGTTGGGTTCGTTGATTTGACGTTATATGTTAGTGCCTCGTCATGGTATTCATGTTGTCTTCGAAATACACTTCCATGGTGTTCGGTGCTGGGGTTCATGAAGCGCTATGCACCGTATAGGACTGATTGCTAGGGTGAACGTTGTGTCACAGAAGTACATTCATGTAGTAGTTCCGCAGTTAATCGAGGTCTCGGTATAGCAAGCCCTGAGGTTAAAATGACAGCGAGGTTAGAATGTCGTTAAAGAACGTTATACGCAGTTATGCTAGTTTCTGGTAAGTCTATTATCGAAAGTGCCGTGTTAGGTTTAATATGTGACTTACGGTTTTCCCTCGTAGTCTCAATATTGATTTCTTTTCGGGCTAGTAACCGGTGCTCGGTATATGTTGGCAGAACAGTGTACATGACGTCGGTAGGTAGTCTTTAATATGCTGGAAATCACCGTTTGCTCGTGACCTGTGATGGACACCGCGTTGTCACAGAGGAAACCGATGTAGAGACAATATCGACATGGGTATCAAGTATTTAACCCATATTCGTGATCCGTAATATATTTAACCTGTGTTTATGCACCGTTGATGCTGGTAAGCTACGGATCCGCTCCAGGATGGAGAAGTGAAAACGTCGAGTCTAACACAACGGGCGTCGTTACACTCGTTCGACATTCTACACGTACGCGCGCAGGCGGCTCAGGCACGTAGAATGTCTTTTGAGAACGTTGTAGGCGTATGATGATGGTAGTTTCGCTGGGAACTGTATTATCGAAGCTGTGAGTTCAGCTTTTACGGTTTTCCCTCGAATCGAACTCAATTGTCCATATCACCTTGAGTCGGTAGATGGATCGTGCGTTCTTTTCGGGCTGGAAAACGGTTGCCAGAAGAGCGTACATGACGTCTGCAGGGAGGGTAGCATATGCTGCAACTCACCGTTGGGTTTATTCGACGGTTGTAGACCTATGATGGACGCCTCGTTATCACAGAGGAAACCGATGGAAAGAAAATATCGAAATTGGTAGAGGCTACGTTGATGCTTGGAGGCTACGTACTCGCGGCGTTGATGCTCGAAGGCTAAGGGTTCGTTCCAGGATGAAGAATCGAAAACATTGAGCGTAACACGTGGCGGCGCTGCGCTGTTCGACATTGTACACGCACTCGCGTCGTATATGCTCAGACACGTGTAGAATGTCTTTGAAGAGCGTTGTAGGCATTTGATGGTTTCGTTGGGAACTGTGTTATCGCAGGTGCCATATTAGGGTTTGAGTACGACTTACGGTTTCCCTCGATATCTCCTTCGAATCTCTAGATTTGTGCGTTCTGTTCAGGATAGAAAACGGTGGTTGGTATGTTTTGCCAAAAGAACGTACGACGGGCGTGGCTGCACTGTTCAACATTCTACACGTACTAGCGCCGTCGCTCAAACACGTACGTTGTGCTTAAGCAGAACGCGCGCCGACATCCTGCTGACATTTTCCTTAAATGTAGGTTGCTCATTGAGTGCGGGAAATGGATTTCTATCCCGCGGGGATCGTTAGTCGTGTCGAAATTTGAGCTACACGTACCTTGGCCGTTGCTCGGACACGTGGAGTGTTCTTCAGCTGAGTGCCCCCCCCACATCCTGATTGTAAAACGTTTTATTCACGACTCGTTCTTTCATTGCAAGTGGAAAAGGGAGTTACGTCCTACCCTTCGGTGCCTAGTTGTTTCCTTTTGTGGTCGTGTACAATAATACGTGCTGCGTTCGGTGGAAGTTCTTTTGTGCGATTTCAATCTGGTTGGTGAATGCGTGCTTCGTTGCATTTCCGCGTCGTTTGTGACTTCTGGTTGGTGATGTGTGCTTCCTTGCATTTCCCGTTCTTTTTCTTTCGTGATTTGTGCATGTCTGTGGAAACTGGCGTGTGGTTCCATAACCACCTGCATCGTCCGGGGGCTAGGTCGCACTTGCACGAATTAAGAGATACTGACGGTAGATAGCAAAGATCAACGGGCAAAATATGTCCTAATTTACGCAAGTGGGACCTTGCCCCGGATCTACCGTCTCCTCTCATATGCCATTGTATTTTGCGTCTTTGCGCCCACCACGTTGACGAGAGAAGCTTTACGCGTCCAACAAGATGGAGCACGTTGAATGTTATTAAATTCCGTTGAACGCGCAAAGCTTCTGGTGGGGTTCTTCCATAAAAGACGAAGGATGGCGAGTGACAACCTGAAAGACTAGCTTGTCAGCGCCATGGCCAAGGCGAAGAGAATACTTGCGCTGTTATGTTTTGGATTTTGGATTGAATGCTCTTCTGAAGTGGTCGTCAGATATGTCCCCTGATGGTTTCTGTAAAGCCATTGGGTGTGGAAGGTCTAGTGGCGATTGTTGGTATCTCTGTTTCGTATAATTTGGTTTGGCATGGAGCTCTGATGTGAGCATCACCTCCGGCGTCAATGCAATTCTAGGTGGTCGTATGATTTTTGGTTCACTATTCCTAATGTCGACGAAGTTGAAGTATTACCCATATTCCTGATCTCGACGACGTTAAGTGAAGTATTTAACCCATATTCCTGATCCGTAATATATTTCTAATCTTGTGAAATAGTATAGATAGTATAGATAGCATTCTTCCTGACGGTCTACTACTATAGTAGAGACTACAATCCCGTTCTGAACTCTTCCTATCCGCTTGCTTGTCTATTACACGGCCAGCACTTCCTATCTGCATGCTTCCTGCGCGAACTTCATGTTGGTGTCTTCACCCCGTCTTCACATCATCAGCCGCCAGCACCCTTGCCAACTCCCGTCGGCGGAATGTTGGGGTTCTCTCTTGAGGATAAAAGCTGTGTTCGCTGTGTTCGAGAGGCAAATCGCGCTTATGTGGAGAGTGGAGACGAGTAGCACGTTTCATATATCCCGCTTACGTGGCAATCCGAAAGTCTGGTAAGGGAAATTGTGGGAAGTAAAACCGACCCCCGTCTGTGATTGTTGCTTGCATCCTAGTCCGAGTTCTTAGTCTTTCCTGTTAGGTCTTGGTGAATTTGCAATGCACGCAAAAGAGTGTTTGTAGACCTTAATTTGCTTTCATGTATGCAAAGAGTTTTACTTTTGCTAATTTTATGGAATGCAGCGCATTTTAACTTTTCTTGCTCCGCTTTAGCCCCCTTTTTTCCTTTAAAAAGGACAGTTTGGCCCGGTCCCCATCTGAAATAGAATCTGAATGTGGGGTAAGTGCAGCGTTTCCTCTTCGGAAGGTAATGCAAGGCATTGTGTGCATCTGCACTATAGCAGCGGTCAGGTGCACGACTGACTGGCTTGGCTTGAAAGCCGGTGTGCTAATGTATGGCAGATCGTCATAATCCACCGCCTGAGCACAAATGACAAAATGGTAGTTTCTTTTTTTTGTTTTTGTTTTTGGAAATGTCCCAGTTTCAAACCCTAACTGGAAGCAAGTACACGAAGAAAAGTAGCTCTTGATTGAATGAATGACAAGACAAGAAGCTCCACCGTTTGTATGAGAAGATCACGCCTCTTAACACCCTACACCCTGAATCAGTTTTTTGTAATTGTTTTTTAAGGGCTAACCAAAAAGGTAAGGCTCCGATCACTATCGTCTTCCCCCGAAAATAACGCACCCTAAAAGTTAATGTATAGAAGCTATATTTCTGGCCAGATACTGCCAAAATAAGGCTGCGTTGTGTTCGGGGAAAGACGGTAGTAGTACTGAAGGATCGCGCGGACAGAAGGTAATCTACGAGTCCCCGCGGTGAACTGTGGATGATGCACCTTGAGGCAGAGGTCTAGGTGGGTCCCACTTTCAAGGAGTCGCCACACTACTGATCACTAAACGAATCCACGTGTATGTTCCGTCCAAACGTGTCTAGAGACATCTGTTACTATGAAATATGGTAACGCACGTATCGGGCCACCTTCTGGGGAAAGATGCACTGGTCATTTTTGTCGTTTTGTGAGAGTAGTTGGCGAGGGCGCTTCTGGAAGGAGCAGAATAGCCACTCGTGCTCTCATCCGGCCTTTGCCTCCTGTTGCCGTGCTGACGCCGATTGGTCCAGCGGATGGGAAATTACATCCGTCGATCTACACGCGGCCTGTCTCCGATGGACAGTGGGGACCACCACTCTAGCTGACACCCCAAAACGGCAATACGGTGAGGAGTTTGGAAGAGGGATTTTAGTGGGGGTGGGGATTGGTGGGGGGGCGCCGGGCGACCGGTAGGCGCAGGCGGGTCAAGTTCTGCAATTTTCGAGCGCCAACGTTTGGCCATTTTTCGCGCCCAAAAAACTTCAAAAAAAAAAGTGAAAAATTGAGACCCTGTAGAATACCTCTGAAAATTAAAGAAAAATATCAGAAAAATGAGAAAACTATTTTAGACCATGAAATAAATGCTGCGGCAATTCGTCACATTTTCCACTTTTCGCAACTCCACAACGTGTGGGCCCACGTTCAGAAGAATGGCACGAAAACTCTGAAAATTCGAGGGTCTGTACATTTTTGAAAAAACAAAAAAAACATTTTAGGTGGTGAAATATTTAAAAAGTAAAACGAATTTTAGGTGGCGAAAATAAATGCTGTGCCGATTTGTTTAATTCTCGATTTTGCCCACTCTACTACTTGGGAGCCAAGGGGAAACGATCATACGACAGCCTGGCCGCCCCTTGTTTACAAGTGGGAGAGAAGGTATCCCAATTTCAGTGATTTTTCACGGTCAGAAGAATTCATTAAAAAATTCTGAAAATTGGAGGGTCCGTAGATTTGGTCGTGAATCTTTCCAGGAAAAAATCATTTTTAAAAAATTGAAGAATCGTTTCAACCACGAAATAAGTGGTGGTGGCAATTTGTTGGATTTTCCATTTTCACCATTCTGCCCGGAGTCCACGCCATGCTACAGGTATAGCTCTCATGAGGACACCCTGCTACAGGTAGCTCTCGTGAACCTGTGCTACCGGGTCAGTAGTGACGCGTGGCCCAGTTGCTAAGGACTGGGCTTTTTTTTTTTTTTTTTTTTTTTTTTTTAAATTTTAAACTGGGCATTTTCCGGCCTCGGAAAATGGCTGGGTAAAGGTTTGGCGGGGGTGCAAATTGAAAACGCACTGCGCCAGTATTGAACCACCAGTCCCTCTGACGTCAGAAACCTCGGGGGTACCGGTAGTCCCTCTGACGTCAGAGACCTCAGGGGTACCGGTAGTATAGAGTGGAAAACCGGTCGGGCCTGAAGAAATGGAATTTGCGCAAATGCACCAAATCGGCGCGGCGAACATTTGACGGTCAAAATGATTTTTTTTTATTTTTTTTTCTGATATTTTTCCCTGAAAGATCAGGACCTAATCTATGGACCCTCAAATTTGATGAATTCTTCTGAGCACCAAAAATCGGCAAAGTTGCCACTTGCAAATGATGGCGGGATTGGACCCGCCTGTGAAGAACGGTGGTCGCCGCCGTCCCTCTGTACAACCTGGCCCTAGCTCACAGGGCCGAGGGGTTTCGGCTGGCGGGGGAACTGGTGGTTTAAAGGCTGAAATTGGTTCTACTGCATCCTACAAATGGTGCCTTTCTTGGAATCCGACAAACTTGTGCCACTGCAACCTATCCCACCTGACAATTTGCCAGCCCTCCTGCCAGCCAGCCAGCTACCCAGCCATCCCTCCAAGACTACAGCTGCCTGCTAATGGGTGTGAGCTCTTGCTGTGTGTGTGTGTGTGTGCGAGTGTGTGTGTGTGTGTGTGTGAGAGAGAGAGAGAGAGAGAGAGAGAGAGAGTCTTGTCGGTGTCCTTTCTCCTTTCTTGTCAGTGTCCTTTCCAGTGGTTGTGGTTGATAGTGTGCCATCAATTTCTTCCACTTGCGTTCGTTATTTTTTAAAGAAAACACAAACCACAGTTTGTATTCAACCTCATAATACTGGAACCAGCAACTTGTCAAAGTTGATGCCCCATCATCAATGCTCGATCAGGCACAGACAGTTGCTTTCACACAACTGCAGCAGATTTTACCTCCACCAGTTGAGTAACTCTCTCTCTCTCTCTCTCTCTCTCTCGTGCCCTCCAGCAACATGAAAGGAACCCCAGGTTCAACCCACGGCACACTTGCCTACCATGATAACCAAAGCAACTCCTCTACCCCCGTCATAATTTCATAATGCCCCAGGCTACTTATTATAGAAAGGATATGGCTCTCTTCCTCCTAACATAGAATCACCTCCGCCCTGTTGACTACGGCTTACTAGAAGAAAAGAAACAAAGTGCGCGCGCTCGCGCGCGAGAGAGAGAGAGAGAGAGTATCGCTATCATTTTCGTTTCTTCTGGGCGTCATTGGTGTATGTGCCAGCGAATTCCTTCAGATTCGCTCATGAAAGGTCTGCCCTGTTTCACTACCGCTTACGAGCCAACGAGTGGAGCCACACACACACACACACACACACACACAAAGAGAGAGAGAGAGAGAGAGAGAGAGAGAGAGAGAGAGAGAGAGCCATCCAGACAGGAAATCTCGTGTTCCACCAAGGCCATTCATCTATTTTTCTGTTCTGGTTTCTTGCAATTTTTTTGTAGTCACGTCCGTGTATATGACGACAATTGTGTCCACATGCGATCACTAAAATAAACAAGTATATAATGTATATATATTCATAATTTCATATATATGACATAGTCTGTATAGCTTTCCATCTGGTGTGTGTGAGTGATAGTCT